TAAAAAGTCATACCACCCATACAAGCTAAGGCTCAAAAGGCTACTTTCTGTATTACTCTATTTGCTACTTAGTATGTATTCCATTAATAAGGTAGTAGTTAAGTACCACATAATTAGTTCTGACTCAGCAACCTGGACCAGGGTTTCTGAGGATCACCTTATCCTATAGAGCCACACCAGAAGAATCCAGTAAAAGCAAAACTATTGAGTACGTAGGTGGTTCAGATGGCTTGTGCTCAACTTCTAAAGGGTGATCAGTTCAAACCTAATCAGCAGCACCCTGGAAGATATGCCAGGTGAGGGCTTCTGTGAAATGATGGACAAAAGATTCCTACGGAGAAGGATCATCATGAGTCAGAACTGACTTGACAGCAAAGATTTGGTGTTTTGCTGATTAAGACAGAAATCAGAACTTAGTGGTTGTCAGAAGCTGAGCATGGGAAGGGGTGGTGTTTTCTTCCAAGGGGGCACAAAACAATGTCTGGGAAGTGGCAAAGGACATTTCTGAGATTATGATTATCGGCTACATTTTAATTCGGGTGATGACTAAACAGATAAGCTCAATTTTTTAAAATCTAAAGAAAGATAATTTAGAATTTGTGTTTTTATAAAATTATGTATTTATATATATATTTCAACACAGGTTTACAAAATGGGTGCAAGCAGACGTAGCCATTAAATATATAGCATCAATTCTATTCATGCCCTTACATCAACTTTCACATGTAGACTAGGTAAAACACATATGTACACAGGGATTTTTAAATGCTACAAACATATTCTTCTAAAAAATATTATTCTCAGAACTTAAATTTTAACAATACGATGATATGGTATATTTAAAAGTGTAAATTTAAATAGGCAGTAAATTTTGAATGACCCATCTTAATACTGGATAATTCAAATTTTACTGTAATTGTAACACTGGCAAGCAGAAGCCATTTCTTAAAACACTGGTGCAAAGATTTGCATGATGTAACTTTCCCAGAAATTCAGCAATCTAGTCTTTCAGTATGTATCTCATTATTGTTAGTCAGAATTTTTCCAACTGGTAGGGCAAAAAGGGTGAAAACACTTAAGTCTGCTGAATTCTCAGTGCATTTCTTTGCCCACCAAGTAGAAAACTCCATACAAGTTTATTTAGCCAACTGTTCTATTAAAAAATTCCTCTATGTACACCATATATTTTTTCTTAAACATCAAATTTTTGAAAACAGTATTTTGATTATGCCAATACATTTATGGAGAAAAATACAAACACAAACTACTGCAGAACATAGTTATTGGGCTTTTTTTCAGTAACCTCTTTGAATTAAAAATATCCACCCACTTGTATAAACATGGTTTGGCTTCAAAACTAGGTTATATAAAAATCAGCATTATGTAAAAAAGGATGACCACATCAGATCACAAAATGGAGGGTGACACAACAAACCGACAAATTGCAAGCTGACACAATCTTCACCATTATACCCAGTGTTATTTTTACCTTGTATCTTGGCATTCATTACTGACATACATATGCCATTAATGTGCAAAATTGTTGAATATATGTTTTTCTACTTCATAAATGCAAAATGTTATATGTTAACAGTTAATGAGCGGTAGGTGCATACACATGGGGCTTCGAACAGTTCATGTAAAAATGGAATGAAAAGATAATGGAATTTTCCCAAAAAGTTTTTTGAAGGCCTCTTGTATATTTATATATGCTGTTATGTTCTGGGGAGGAGAAATGAGTTATGAAGAGGTGATTCAGGTTTACTTGAAGAACACACAGAAATTTTACTAAGAAAATGATGGTTTATAATAAAACTGCCAAGTGTCAAACTAAGATCGCCATAATATTCTGACCATCAAAGGGCATGTTGCTGTTGTTAAGTGCCATCGAGTTGGTTAAGCCTCATAGAGACTCTGTATGGGGGTTTCCAAGCAGTGACTGGTGAATGAACCAAAGATCTCGTGATTCAAGCTGATCTTGCAGTTCAGTACACTATCCCACAGCGCCACACTAGGACTCCGTCAAAGGGCATACATGCACAATTTTTGGATGATGGCAATTCTCAGTTATGAAACTTGAGATGGTAAGATCCATTATCAATTAGAAAAAAAGGACACTAAATTTGTATGTAAATTGTAAGAAGATATGAAGATAAATCTTTATAATACCTTCCTTTGCATATTTTCTATCTCATTTTCCTTTGTATAAATTTTCTAAATAATTTGCCTGTATTTATTTTAAATCACTTAGTAACTTAAAAAACAAACTTAAGCAAGTCATGCACGTTCTAAAGGTTCAAGGATAAATTAAAACAAGATATCCTCTGTAAAGCAAATATATTTATTAGGCATTTTCATATACATAGGGATTTTTGCATAATATAATACAAGGAATAAAATAAAACTTTTACAATGTGAAATTTAATGTACAGTTTAGGCTATTTACAGACCTCAAACCAAGGGAAAAATAAAAAAAAGAAAGCTTTTGTCTGCAACTATATTTGCTGGGAAATGTAAATGGAGGACATTAAGCAAAACAAACATTTGCTGATCCAAAATAAAAGTGAACTTTTTAGAGTAAGGATTTCTGTGGAGGTGGGGAGGAGGGAGGTGAGGGACAAAAGACATGGCTGTACTTTGACATACACATTAATAGGTTCTGGTCAGTTTTCCTTCCAAACTTCTCCAACAAACAGATTTTTATTTTTAACTACTGTATTTTATCAATTCCCTTATTATCATCAACTCATGACTTTTAGGGAATACGAACAGATGGAAAGTTATAAAAATGTTATTAAGCACATGGCATCATAGTTGTGTAGTGGCAACAGCTGATTTATAAAATTTAAACATTTTCATTTCAAAAATAGCTATTTAGGAGTTTAGTATCTGGGGGACAATTATGTGTTCTCCTTAATGAAACAAAAGGCATTTTCAGACATGGTATTAAATCCCCCACAGAAACAAATAAGCAAACCAGGGAATCTCTGGCACCCTCATCATCCTTCCATCATAGCCATGTATGACCTATTCTAAAAAATAATTTTTATAAAAACATCCAGAATACTTACTTTTGAAAGTTGTACTTTCCCAACAGACTCTCTTCCTACCAAGTGTTTCAAGTGTATATAGTAATGGATATGAAAACATTCAGCTCTTTGAAAAACATAAATCCCTTATATATGAGTCATATCTCTGCCCTTTGGCTACAAGGTGCATTTTTTGTAACAAACAATAAAATTAAATAAATACAATTCCAATAATTCAAGGTTAATAGAAAAACTGGCATCTTTCAGGGTTCTCTTTCTAAAGAAAAATACACCTAATAAGAAATTAGAATTTCATCTTCTACAGTGTTGTAAATGTACTGTATCTGAGATATGAGCAAAGTTGGTTTAACAGGATGTGTTCATATTTATTAAAAGAACCACTGACACTCTTAAGGCTACTTTGCAAGAGTCCTATTAAGTGTATTTAATAAATGTCCCATAGGGACAAGAATTCAATACTTGAAACATTCACATTCGAGTTATCAATATTGCCATGTCACCTTAATATTGAATGAACTTATCTCCTATTCCTGATTATGACTTATCTTGATGACATAAACAAAATGGGTTTTACTGACTTTAAAGAACAAAAGGAAAAACAAAAGCCTTACACTAAGATTGAAGTGGAATATTTGCCACAACAAAATTAAACATTTCTATTTCTGCAAACAATGCATCACATGTGTCCTTCATATGCTAAGATGGCATTACTGATCTCTGTCAATAAGTCATGTAATAAAGATTTTTCTAGTAGTAGCAATGGTTTTGTGCTGAATTTCCAGATTCTCTTTCCTCAATCCTCTTTATCAACAGCAAAAGATTAACAGGGCTCATTCAAAAGTCAAACCCACACTGTGGCTTCTAAACATATGCACACGGACCCATTTAAAGGTAGCACCACTGGTTTAGAGCATATCCATGAGGCCAAAGCTGTGGGTCACATGTTTAGTTGAACCTGTCAACTTTATTTATTTATTTTTTTTGGTCAGAGACTTCAACCTCAACCCTCGCACTGAGCTACCCTGCACACAATTGTCATAAGAAGAAAATACAAAAAAGAATGTGGATAGAAAAGTGCATATCCATCACTATCATTTATCAAATAATAATAATAATAATAATAATAATAAATACATGTGTGCTATGACTGATGATTTAGTGGTATACTGTGAAGGACAGCACATATTATTTCATCAAGAATATCCATCCAAAGAAACCACGAAAACTGATCCAACTGACTATGTGGGGACTCTTTGGGTCATACAGTGATTTACAAAATTCTGAGAGAGAATCCAGCATTAACATTTATAGTGGAAAATTACATTTTACTTAACTGGAAGGAAGAGATACACATAAGTTAATGAACTGTTCAGGGATCAAAATTATATCCTCAGATAGACAGGTGCCTCTCCCTCTGCACACACATGCAACTGAGGCATGAATTTTTCCCTGAGAATTGTCATGCCTCAGGAATTATAATCTGTCTGCTTGAGGTGGAATGACAAGTCAGTGGAAGATGAAATAGCATTCCAGTGAATGAATCAAAACTTGGTTCTGCCGCAGCCTGTTGTTTCCATTTTGAATAATTTTAGCAGAGATAAGGATACTACTAGGAAAATCCAGATTTAAACTACTTAGAGCAGCTCCCTAAAATACTAAAAATTATTTTAAAAATAAACCTTTTTTTTTAAACCTCAAAATGGCATTTATACAGAAACTTAGTTTTCTCCAATGCTGAAGGTGTAGTGAACATAAAACAGTTGCAAAATTAATTTTATTGAGCAACATTATTTTTAAAGATACAAGAAACAGTCCATACATTACAACAATGCAACCATGACTGAAACAATATGCTTAAGTTTCTTTTGCCACAAAAAGAAAAAAAAAATAATAATAAATACAAGGAACACTGCCTTTTCATATATACTTGACCATGGCACATGCACATTAATCAAATCTTAAAATACTGAACTCAAATTTTTTTCAGCTTCTATCAGGGAACTGCAGTATATACCTGCATTTTTTAAAAGTGCTTACTCTTGTGTAGTAAATACAAAGCACACAAAATGAAATTTCTTAAGCACAAAGGGTTAACATTGAGAAGGCAGCCTTACTATTTAGAGGCACATTACAGTAATTAAGGTAACTGTACTGCAGATAATCACATTCTTGTTTTTTCAGCAAATCAACAGGCATTTTGTTTTCATCCAGTAGCTGAAGAACCACTCCAATCACAATGTCTTGTTTTAAAAGTAGGAAACTAATGCAAAAGAAGAAAAAAAGAAAAAGAAAATTATATACACAATCATTATATAACTACATGGTGTCCTGGTGTGGCACTGTGGAATAAGCCACTGAACTGCAAGGTCGGTTTGAACCACAAGGTTGGTGGTTCAGACTCAACAACAGCTTCTTGGAAACCCTATACAGGGTCACTATGAGTTGGAACTGACTTGATGGCACATAACAACAACTATAATCATTATATAACTACATAGAGTCCTGGTATGGCTCTGTAGGCTAAGCAATGGGTTGCTAACTGCAAGGTCTAAACCTACCAGTTGCTTCTCAGAAGCCGTATACAGAGTCACTATGATTTATAACCAACTTGATAGCACTTAACAACAACATATGTCTACATACAGTTTTAAGACTTTAAATAAGAATACATACATACACTTGTACAAGCAGGCTTCAGGAAGTCCATGGAAAAATTTCATTCTCTTTTAATTCCCTTTCCCATGAACTTTCTGAAGTACCTTTACATGTTATATTGTTGTTGATCTGAAGTACCCTTATATTATATTGTTGTTGTTAATACCATGGAGTTGGTTCTGACTCATAGTGACCCTGTATAGGGTTTCAAAAGAGCAGTTGGTGAGTTTGACCTGCCAACCTTGTGGTTCAAATCAACCCTGCAGTCCAGTGCATTAACACACAACACCAATACATATGTACACACACACACACACAACACACGTATTAATATAGATGCATGCATGCATTTTTAAAAGTGGTCTTAAAACTATATGTATATAGTGCATGTAAGTGATATATGCATATATATATATATATATTTTTAACTACATACATAAAGCACAAAATAAATCTATTAAAGATTCATTATCTAACTTACGAGTCATTTTTAAAGTTTTCACAAAATGTTTACCTTAATTCATGTTTATGTTTCATACATACACTTACACTTTGCCTTTACAAAAAGTATCATTAAAACTAAATAACTTTAAAATAAATTACAGTGGATAAGTACTTTATTCAAATAATATGAATAGATTTTCCTGGTCTTCCTTAGATTCACACTTATTAGAATATATGGGGGAATTTATTTATAATAATGTTTCACCTAAAGTACCTGTATTTCTGAGGCAAAAGAAGTACATGTGAGAAAGAGTATAGTTTTGTTAGAAACATTAAAATGGGTAAGCAATGTGAAATAAATATACTTGTAGTATAACTTTGCAAGGATTACTGATGAAACCTTCAGATGGAAAATGAGCTTGTAAAAAATATGTGTAATACAAAAACTGTGCACCCTCTGGTAGCGTAGTGGTTACAAATTGGGCTGCTAGCCTCAGGGTCAGCAGTTTGAAATGACCATCTGTCCCATGGGAGAAAGATGAGGTTTTCTGCTCCCATAAAGATTTACAGCCTCGGAAACCCTGTACAGGGTCGCTATGAGTCGGAACCAACTCCACGGCACATAACAACAACTATAGTCTCATAATTTCATCAATGTAACTAGTGATACACTGTATGGTGAGGAGGGATAAAAAGTTTTGTTATTTATTTTTTTTTTACATAAGTATGACTATTTCAGAGTTTATACATTTAATTCTTTAATCTACAGAGCCACACCTTCCAATACAGTCATCATCATTTCCACAGCTGAAGGAGTCTTAAAAGTTATCTGACATAATAGTAACCACCTTTTACTGGTTAAGTCTGACTTCTAGCGTGAAAAGGAAATTACTAACTTTCTCCTGGTGTGGCGCTGGACTTCGAACCAGAAGGTCAGCAGTTCAAAATCCACAAGCTACTCCTTGGAAACCCTATACAGGGTTGACGCAACGGCAATTAACAACAATTATCTCGTAAGTGCTACATAATTTCTGGTGTAGCGCTGTGGGTTAATGCGCCAGAGTGCAAAGCCGTTTGAACTGCAAGGTCAGTGGTTCAAGCTCACCAGCTGCTCCTCAGAAACCCTATACAGGGTCGCTACAGGTCAGAATCAACTCGTTGGCACTTAACAACAACAACTACAATCTCCTAAGTGCTACATAATTTCATTTAAACCAAGATGATAAATATTATGTAAATAACTCCTCCCTCTGTCACCATCAAAAATATTTTATAGTAGGAAATGAGTGAAAAGGAAGTAATTCTTTATCTGAAATCCATAGATAGTATATTCATGCGTTCACTTAGTCAACAAATTGTACTGAGAAATGATCATAGGTCCAAGCACTATTCCAAATACATGTTATAGCAGCAAATAAAATAGATAAATATCCTCACCCTAAAAAAACTTATATTTTAGTTGGGAAAGACAAATACTAAATAGAAGACATAGGCCAAACACATAAAGTATGTAAAATAATAAGTGATAAAAAACGGGAAAATAGAAAAAGGAGCGCTGAGGATGTAAGAATTCAAATTTTAAGAGTGTATAAGGTCTTGCTGATACGGCACCTGGACAGAGATTAGAAGGTGAGTGATGTGAATAATAAAGGGAACAATACTTTTGGCATACTTTATGTTGAATGCAATTTTACCTTTTATAATGGTGTCTCCTTCTTATAGTTGAAGCTGGGGTCAGAACCTTCTATCTGAAGCTTCAAGGCTTGTTTAAGGCTTAATTCTGTCTCTGAAGTAGGATACCCTTCTAACACTTCTTGATGCCCTCTATCTTGTATTGTTCGTGGGACTGAAACCCTACCAAGAAAAACCTGATTGCTTTGAAGATGATAATTTGGATTTGTCATTATTCCATTTCTCTTCTTCTGTTCCCCACTTTGTTGGTGAATAAGAAACTGTTGTTGAGAACGACCAATTTCCTGCTGATTTGAAGGTATCATAATTTTGCACTGAGATTCTGTCGGCATTTGTTTAAGTGGTACACTAGTCCCAGAGATGGCTATGGGTCCTCTTTTATCAAATTGAGTCATTTCATATTCTAAAACCTGTGAAGAATTGCTTTGTTTAGCTTTTTTCCCAGTGGAGCCAGATTTGCTGGAATTTTCTGATTTCCCTCCTTTATTTGCTTTAGTTGACTTCAAACTGGGCTTTACTTGACTCCACTCAAACTCACTACTCGGAGAATTATGACTCTGTCCTAAGGACTGGGTTGTGGAAGATGGGGAAACAATTGACTGTCGACTTCTACTGCGTGGCAATGAATGCTGCTGAATTTGTTCTGTAAACGACAGGTTATGAAAGCTATCAATTGGCACCGTTTGGGCTGTTGCTGTAGATGAAGTAGTTCTCAAAGAAGAATTTTTTGAGCTTTTCAGGGAGTTATTTGACAATGATGACTTCTGGCGATCAACTGTAGAATCTGGAGATTCTGAGGGAGAACTGAATGCATGAGCTGGTCCATTAGGTAAACCACGCAATGAAGGCTGCATATCCCCGCCACCAGTACTACCAGAGCTATTTGACTTAATTGTTAATGACTGCACCTTTGAAGACACTGATTGGAGAGGTTTTTGTTCCATTGTATGAACAGGAGATGGGGAACAACCATTCAAACTAGCTGCACCGTATTTTTCTAATAATTTGATTATTTGGGAATGTCCATTTTTGGCTGCAACACGCATAGCAGTGCGTCCAAACTGATCAGCATGGTTTGGATCAGCACTGTGTTCCAATAAAACTTGCACCACATCAATGTGCCCTTCCTGGGCTGCAATGCAGAGTGCAGTTGCACCTTGATTACATGTATGGTCAACTACTGCACCATGTTCAATCAGAAGCTGAACCACCTTTACATGGCCTTGCCAGGCAGCAGATTGCAAAGCAGATCGCTTTTCATTGTCTGCAGCATTGATATCAGCATGGTAGGTTATCAGAACCTGCACCATTTCCAAATGGCCTTGCCAGCAGGAAACATGAAGTGCTGTCCTTCCTTCAGCATCACTTGCTTCTACATTTGCACCATTTTCTAAAAAATATTCAGCCATTGTAAGTTGGTTTTCTAAGGCCAAAATATAAAGTGTGGGCCTCCCATCAGCATCTTTATAGTTCACATCAGCTCCATGGCTAAAAAGTAATTCAACAATGTCCCTGTGTCCTTCTAGGGCAGCCACCCGCAGTGCATTTCTTCCATCATAACCTCTTTGATCAATGTTGGATTTACTTTCCAGTAATATTTGAACACAATCGTAATGACCCTCTTGTGAAGCTAATATGAATGGTATTCGCCCATCATTATCAATCTCATTTGTTCTAGCACCTTGCTCAATAAGTGCTTCACATATTAATCGATGACCTTCGAAGGCTGCCATGTGCAAAGGTGTCCACCCAGCATCATCTCTGTGATTTTCATCCAACCCTCTGTCCAGTAGAGTACGCACCACCTCAACATTTCCTTGTGCTGAAGCAATGCTGAGGACTGTCCTACCTTCACTGTCAATACTATCCACAGCTGCACCCCAAAACAAGAGCGTGTTTACAACTGAAGCATGACCCATAGATGCTGCTGCTAAAAGGGGTGTACGACCATTGTTATCTGTATGATCTACATCAGCTCCACCCTCGAGAAGCAAGTCAACCACATCAACATGTCCTTCATAGGCAGCCACCAGCAGTGGCGTCATGCCATCTTTGTCACAATGATCTACTTCAGCACCTCGGTCGATGAGAAGGCTAACGACAGATGCGTGCCCTTTACTTGCAGGCACACAAAGTGCAGCCACAGACAGTGCAGTCCTGCCATCAACATCCTCATGATTTACTTCTGCTCCGTGGTCCAGTAGGTGTTCCACAATCTCTCTATGTCCCATGTATGCTGCTGCTATCAAAGCAGTTCTACCTTCATTATCAGCTTTGTTGACTTCAGCACCATGTTGTAGCAAATTCAATACAATATCCTCATGTCCTCCCCATGCTGCTGCTCTTAAAGCAGTTCGACTATCAGCATCTGCACAGTCCACTTTCACACCAGCATAAAGTAAGGCCGAAACCACCTCAGTGTGACCACCCCAAGCAGCAGATCTTAATGCTGTCCATCCATCTTGATCAGTATGATTAATATTTGCTCCACACCCAATCAAACAATTAACAACCTTAGTATGCCCTTGTCTAGCAGCTAGGGTGAGGGGTGTATGTCCATGAGTGTCTTCGATCTCTAAGTCTGCACCCCTAGAGACAAGTAAATTCACTACATCAAGATTGCCACTGTATGCAGCATTAGCCAATAATGTTCTCCCGTTTGAATCACATTGATTTACTGAAGCTCCATTATCTAATAATGTCCGAATAGAATCTTCTCTTTCTAAGGCTTGTCTGACAATACATGATGTGCGATCATCTTCACTGTTAACATGAGCACCAGCTTTGACCAAAAGCTGTAGAACTTCTTGTTCCTTGGGTATTAAAGTAGACAGAGAATCTTTGACAGGTGTACCATTCCATATCATCCACAGAGCTAACTCAGCTGTTTCTAATTGTAAGTTTGAATTAATTAAGTGCAATGCAAATTCTTGTGCTTCCAATGGTGTCAAATCCTTGGCTTGGCAGGTATAACTCATAGCCAACATTCTGTGTCCTTCTGCTGCATTACACAAATATTTCTGAGTGCAGTGTTTCACATCCAGAAGCCACTCTGCAAAACTATAGTGAAACAGTATTTTAGTGTTGCCCAGTCCATCAACAAGAAGCTTGGAGAGGACATCTAGCTTGCGTTGAAAGTCTTCCAAGGTTAATGACATATTCTTAGTCCATACTGCATGATATAATTCCGTTATGGTCAAAGGTCGGCAGGCTGCAAGAATAACATTCAAAATAGGCTGAACCTTTGCAAACTGTTTTCTTACAAAAAGTCTCTGACACAGCCAGAGATATAGACCATTTAGAGTTCCTGGAATATCACGGATCTCTCGTAACATAATAAAATTTTCTACAACGCCATCCAGAACCCGTTCTAGATAAAGGAAGCATCCACTGCTTTTAATGTGCAGTTGATTTAACATCTCTGCAGTTTCTTTTGTGAGGTGTTGCCGCAAAGCTTCTTCTTGATCTAGACGATGGAGAATGTATTGCTGAACATCCTTGACAATGTATGCCTTCCGAAGGTCATCTAAACTTATTTTTCGAAAGCCTAAGGAAGAAACAAAAAAAGTAAGTGCCAATAGTTGAAAATTATTGTAGAAGTTTCTATGTATTCAAAGACGACATCTTTAGTGTTCTGGTTTTCAGGAAAAACATCATTAGTAAATTAATTAAATATATGATAGTTGCAAATCAAGGAAACCCTTGCGACACAGCAGTTAAAAGACTGTCAGGAGAAACTCAGAGATACCTGCTTCCAAAGATCTGCAGTGCTGGAAATCCTATGCGGTAGTTCTACTCTGCACTACAAGGTCACTAGAGTCAAATTGTCTCAAAGGCACCAGGTTTGGCATGTAAACCTGTTTTCCTACCTCTGTAAAAAAACATGGATGGCAGATGAACTTTTTTATTTTCCTATCTACAAAGAAACGACTTCTTATTCTTTATGTGACTCAGTGTTCCTCTTAATCTTAGTAATATGAGATCCTAAGCATTAGACAATCTTACATAACCAAGACAGTACCTTGCTAAAAAATTTCTAAACTCCCAAATGATTAGCCATCAAAAAAATAATAGATGCAACAAATAAAGTTTGTTTGTTTTTAAAGGTTGATTTTTTTCATATAAATAATTTATATCCATACATTTGAATGTACATAATTCAAATGTTTGTTGTTGTTGTTATGTGCCGTGGAGTCGGTTCCGACTCATAGTGACCTTGATTAGGGTTTCCGAGGCTGTACATCTTTACAGGAGCAGAAAGCCCATCTTTCTGCTGTGGAACAGCTTGTAGTTTCGAACTGCTAACCTTAAGGTTCCCAGCCAGATTAGTAACCACTACGTTACGAGAGGTGTAAATATGGACTGACTATGGGATTGAATACTGTCATCCAATTACAACATCACCACTGGGTTTAAATGATATTTTACATGTTATTAAATAAAATACAATCTCAGATTATCAATAAATAGCTTGAACCATAGAAGATGCAGCTAGGCCAATTATTATTAACAATACTTCAGCATTAAAAAATAAAGCAACTAATAAAATTTCAACTAATTAAAAAAATACTTATTCTAGCTATTAAAATCTCACTTAGTTCTTTAATGGGAACTGTAATTTCATTTTCTGAAAGAAGATAATAATCATGTTTTTTTTAGACAGTTATACATTTATCTTATTGAAGAAGAAACTGTTGAGTGAATTAACTCATATAAGGGATGTTGTTGTTATTAAGTGCCGTCGAGTCGGTTCCGACCCATAGTGACCCTGCGTAGGGTTTCCAAGGAGCGACTGGTGAGCTTGAACCACTGAGCCTGTAGTTCAAACGGCTTTGCAGTCTGGCACATTAACCCACAGCACCACACCAGGACTCCGATACAAATCCAAAAATCCAGTGAAGGTAGGTGATTTTCTTTTTATACTGAGCTCCGGTAGCGTGGTGGTTACGAATTGGGCTGCTAATCTCACGGTCAGCAGTTCGAAACTACCAGCTGTTCCATGGGAGAAAGATAAGGCTTTCTGCTCCCATAAAGATTTACAGCCTAGGAAATCCTGTACAGGGTCACTATGAATTGGAACCGAATCCACGGCACATAACAACAATAATCCTTTCCTCAACTGAATAATAACAGATGTATCATCTACTTTGCAGAATAAGTATTGAACTATGAACCATATACTCAGCAGTTCGAGCCTACCAGCTTTCCAGAGCTGAAAGATTACAGGCTTTCTATTCCCACAAAGATTTATATCCTCAGAAACTCTATCCAGGGTGGCTTTGAGTCAGAACTGACTCAGCAGCACTTAACAACAACAACTACACCTCAAATAAGGAGTCCTGATAGTACTATAGGATAATCACTGTCAGCACAAGGTCAGCAGTTCAAATCCACCAGTCACTCCATGGGCAAGAGCTGAGGCTTTCGTTCCTTTAAAGATTTACAGTCTCAGAAACCGCAAGGAAGAGTTTCACTGTCTTAGAGGGTCCCTTTGAGTCAGAAACAACTCAATGGCAATGGTTTGTTTTTTCGGGGTACTAAATGCCAGGCGGGGCTTCACAGAATAAATTCTGGACTATGAATTACAAGGTTGGTGCTGCAAGCTCACCAGCTGCTTCGTAAGAGAAAGATGAGGCTTTCTGCTCCCACAAAAATTTAAAGCCTTGGAAACCCTATACAAGTTCGCTATGAATCCAAACTGACTCGATGGCACTTAACAGCAACAACAACAAATGCCAGGCACTGTATCAGATGATGACACTTTTAATTTTATGATGAGAAATTAGTGAACAATTTTAACCAAGGCAATCACAGTGATCAGATTTGCATTTTGAAAGACCATTCTCATCTCATTAAAGGTAAATAGAGAAGACTTTTTGTTGTTGTTAAGTGCCATCAAGTCGGTTCCGACCCACAGCGACCCAATATAGGGTTTCTGAAGAGCAGCTGGTGAGCTTGAACCACTGACCTTGCAATTCAAATGGCTTTGCAGTCTGGCGCATTAACCCACAGCACCACACCAGGACTTAGGGTTGGGCAAAACTAGAGGCAAAACCTTTTAGGGAGGTTATGATAAAATCTAGATACGTTTAACTAAGGGCCTTAACAACTGTGGCAACAACAGCAACAAGAAGAAAAATAAAGGATGGATCTGAGAATTTTTAATGTGTATTGTTGTGGCTTGTTAAGTGCTGTTGAGTCAGTTCTGACCCACAGAGACCCTGTCTGTATAGGGTTTCCGAGGAGCAGCTGGTAAGCTTGTGCCACTGACCTTAAAGTTCAGAAACTTTGCAATCTAGCACATTAACCCCCAGTGCCACGCCAGGACTCCATTTAGATAGTATATAATTGATAAGATGAAAATGGAAAGAGAGAATGAGTAAAAGTTCATGCTACTGTCTGAATTGGCCAACAGAATGGAAAAATATACTATAAAAGGAAAAATAGTATATTTGGGGAGAAAACTAACAAACTAGTTTTGTAATACTAAACTTGAGGTTCTTTGTTGTTGTTAAGTGCCGCTGAATCGGTTCTGATTCATAGTGACCCTGTATAGGGTTTATAAGGAGTGGCTGGTGAGCTTGAACCACCAACCTTGTGGTTCAAACTGACCTTGCAATCTAGCACATTAATCTACAGCACCATACTAGAACTCCTTGAGGTGGTTAGATAGACACATTTACTGAAATACAGAACATGCCAAGATTAACACATAAATAAATAAATAGCATGGACTTCTGAGGCAAGATGGTGAAGTAGGCAAACAAGATGGTGAAGCAGCAGACCCTCTAAAACAGATACAGATGGTGAACCTAGAACCCTAAGCTTCAGAGGATAGGACGAAAGGATGGATTGAGGTCCAACTGGAAGAAGCAGCAAAACAGGAGCAGTGAAGGAGATGAAAGACTAGGGTTGCCTAGAGCAGCACCTAAGCTTTTATAGGTGGCTGTCAGTACAGAGGCTTGCAGGCATAGGGAGGTTAGCGAGAAGGAGGATGTGGTTCCCCCATAACCTCCTAGTAGCTAGAGATGTGGCTAGTCCCTGCTCTCACCAACCAAGGCGTCAGTGGCACCTCCTCTTATGCACCTCTGCTCTACCTGGGGTTGGACACTAGGCATACCACCCCTGCTTCAGGAGGCACATGAACCCACTCTGAACTGTTACATTAACAGCACAGAATTGCATTCACACTTCCAATCTCTAGCATGACAGTTGGTGTGTGCCTGAGAACACACCAGCATATAATCAACAATTAAATATAAATATGATACCACAATGTCTCGGAGAAAACAAACTTAGCTTGCATAAAGAAACAAGACAGAGCGCCTCAAACAAGTGACTAAAGTATAGAGTCAGAAAAGATAACACCAGAAATGATACCGGAACTACTTGATCAGGAATTTGAGAGAATGATATCTAGGTGCCTTCAAAGGATTGAGACAATGATGAGAAAACTGTGGATGAAATCAAGGAAAACAGACAAAACTTAAGAGGAATTCAGGAAATAAGCTGACAAACAAAGAAAAGATCTGAAACCATACAAAAACAGCAATTAGAAAGCAAGATTAACATTAAGGTTTTAGAAATAGATAGCAAATACATTGAGAGAACAAGGAAGAATTGAATCAATGAAAAGCCAAATCACTAAGCTTGAAGACAATGTGCTCAGCATTCATTTGCTAGGCATACAATCAGAAGTAAAAATGAAAAAAAAAAAATCCAAAGGCGGCCTAAGATTTATCCTTATGTGGTTCTGTAGGATAAAACACTGGACTGCAAGGTCAGCGGTTCAAACCCACCAGCCACCCCCTGGAAATTCTATACAGGGTCACTATGAGTAGGAACCGACTCCATGGCACTTAACAACAACATCAAGAGGAATAACTGATGTGTGACTGGAATTCCAAAACAGAAAGAGACCCCCAAAAAAAGGCAAAAATCATACAAGAGTCATTTGAAAAAAACTTCCCTAACTTCCTGAAAGATGAGAAGACACCCATTCAAGAGACTGAATGAACTCCAAACAGAACAGAACCCCCAATGAAAATCATCAGACATATAATTAAACTTTTTGAAACCAACGATAAGGAAAGAGTTCTGATAGCAGCTTGGAAAAAAAATGACCTAAAAAGGAACACTAATAAGACTTAAGTTCTGATTTCTCAGCAGAAATCAGCCAACCAAGAATCACAAACCCAGCAAAATTGTCCATCAAATACAATGATAAAATCGGGGCATTTTTAGATAGAAATTGAAAGAATTTGTAAAAACCAACCTTACAAAAAATACTTAAGGGAATTCTTTGGACAGAGAACCAACAACAGTAGAAACAACCTGAGATTAACATACATAATGTTATCATCCAGAATTTAACAAAGATATAGAAGTATGCAAAGTTAAACATACTTAAATAAAAAATAGGGAAGCAGAGATATCAGTTGCAACCACCACCAAATAAATAAATAAAAGCAAAACGACGGAATAATGTAGTTACAGAACTTCCAAATGAAAAGGAAATCAAGTAGATTTCAAGAGGAATAATTTTTA